ACTGGGCGTATAAGACGACCCCCGACTTTTCCTGTTAAAATATAGGGTTTGGGCTATACTCGCCATATAAGACTACCCCTCTTCCAACGCACACCAAATAAAAATTAAAAAACATCAACTGTCTCACCCACAATGTAAAAGCAGCTGTGCTAGACCCAAAATGGCCCCTGCAGCAAGCAGGAACCTCACACAGCCACAAAAAGCCCAAAAACCCAAGTTTCACACTTTACACACACAAAATTCCACATACAGCTTTGTGAGATTTTGTGTGTTTGTGTAGTTAGAGTGAAACACTACAGAAACACACTAAATCTCAGAAAGCTGCACAAATATTATTTTATTTTATTTTTATTTTTATATGAAAGCTAAATTTAAAACTTCCTAAACTTTAAATGGCTAGGTTTAAAAAAGAACAACTAAAAAAAACCCCAATTAACTATTTTTTTTAAAGATCCCAAAGGGGAAAAAAACTTACCCAATAGAACAGGGGTCTCCAACCTTGGCAACTTTAAGACTTGTAGACTTCAACTTCCAGAATTCCTCAGCCAGCTTTGTTTTGCTGGCTGAGGAATTCTGGGAGTTGAAGTCCACAACTCCCTGCGCAGGGAGTTGCTTGCTGATGGAATGGATTCAGGCAAGCGAAGCAAGGCAAGCGTTGCGACTAGCAGCTAAGGTAAGCAAGCTGGAGGGGGAAAACTTTTTTCCTTTTACATGGCTCTGGCGATCCCAGCTGAGTTGCCTGATTAGCAGGCAACTCAACTGGGATCGTCAGAGCTTGGATCGCCAAAGCCATTTAAGGCTCGTGAGAGCCTTTCGGGCTGGTCTGCCTGGTTACAGGAGAACAACACCCAGCGTATAAGACGACCCCCAACTTTTGAGATTTTCATGTGTTAAAAAGTCGTCTTATACGCCGGAAAATATGGTAAGTCCAGGAAGTTTAACCTGCAATCAGAAATTAACTTTTTAACAGAGTTCTATTTTTCTTTGTAAAGTTTATGAAGATTGGACATTCTCCATAGATGCCATTTATCTGACTGTAAAATAACTATCTTATAAATTAATTGTATACACAGCTTCTGTGTCTGACTACCAACATATGTAATAGATGCATGCACATAGATGAATTAATTTTTGTCCCATTTCAGATCTGACTCTACAGTTTACTATATTTAATAAACAAGACACCGCAATATACACAAGCAATAATAGGGCCAGTTTAGTCTATGGTTAAGGCCAGGGGTGGTATTCACTTACCTTCATTACCAGTTGGCAAATGTGAGAGCACACCTTCCACACATGCGCAGAGCGTCAAAAACGGGACGTGATGACGTCCGGGTGGGCGGAGCCTCCCGCAGCCACTACTACTGGTTCATCTGAACCGGATAGAACTGGTTGATACCACCACAGGGTAAGGTACCAGGCTAGAAAACAGGAGACTATGACTTCAAGTTTCACTTTCGCTGTGAAAGCCAGTTGGGTGACTTTGGGCCAGTCACCCTCTTACTGCTCAACCCACCTCACAGGGTTGTTGTGGGGAAAATAGGAAGAAAGCATGATTTCAGGTATGCCTCCTTTCACAACTCAAGAAAGAAAACCCCCGACTCCATTTTCATAGAGAAAGGTACTTTTACTGAGTATGAATTGAATGCAACCAAAGAAAAGCAAGGTCTGAGACAATAGGGGCAAAAATCACATATAGAAAGCATCCCCAAAACCCTCCCCCCAAGGGTCAAATCAGGATTAATCAATCCACATCCCCCCAAGATGTCATGTGGGGTGCAGCTTCAGATGGCTCCATCCCTCTGGTATGCCAGGACGGTTGATCTTGACTGGTTATCAGCACACCTTCCAGCTGCAGAGAAAACTTTCTCCAATTCACTCCCTGTTACGAGACATCTCCACCAACTCGCTTCCCCCCCCCAACTACCCAGACAGCTCCTCCTCCCTCTGTAACAATGGCAGCCGTAGCAAGGAAGCAATATAGAAGCGGAGGCTGACACATGTTGGATATGTTTGCTGCCTTGAGCTATTTGTAAAAAATAATAAACCTGGGATACAAATAAATAAACAAAGCAATAAATAAGCACATGCAATATGTTAGTCCAATCCTTATGATATGATGCTTTTCTTACAACTGTCCTCTAAAATCCAAAGGTCTTAAGTTTTTGGAAGGCCATAAGAGAAAGAGTCATTTTCACTTCTGGCAACAGCTGTTTTATAAGAAGGGAAACTCCACAAAAATCCTGATGTGACAGTAACTCTTCATACTGATACATCCAACAGTTATCAAAACAGTGAAGTACAAACTGTGCCTCCTTCACAAAAGAGGCAATTTACTTCTAATTTACTACAGGTAGTCCTTGACTTACAACCACAACTGAGCCCAAAATTTATGTTGCCAAGTGAGAAATTTGTTGAGTTTTGCCCCATTTTACAACTTTTCTTGCCACATTTGTTAAATAAGTCACTGCAGTTATTAAGTTAGTAACTTGGTTGTTAAGTGAATCTGGCTTCCTCATTGACTTTGCTTGTTAGAAAGTTGCAAAAGGGGATCACATGACCCCGGAACACTGCAACTATCATAAATATGAACCAGTTGTCAAGCATCCGAATGTAAATCACATGACCATAGGGATCCTGAAAATGGTCATAAGTGTGAAAAATGGATAAAGTCACTTTTTTCAGTGCCATTGTAACTTTGAATGGACACTAAATAAACTGCTATAATTCAAGGTCTACCTTTACATTGAAAAAGCAGGACAATTGTTTGTTCCCTCAGTTGCTTAGGTACAGGAGTATCATTTGAAGGTGGAGGGCTTGCTAGAATTCTTATATTATAATCTCAACATTAATTCCTTGGATTAATGATTTCATCCTAGAATCAGGGTTCTGTTTTGGCTTCTTAGGATACGCTGCCAGCTGATAAATCCTTCTACTACCAAATCTGATCTGTGTCTGACTTCCTGGCCAAACTGATGAGGTCTGCAAATACCATATACCCCTCTGGGGCATCAATGTCCATATCCACTGCTGAACTTGGTTGTCTGGTGGCATGCTGTCTGCTTTAGTTCCCTTAATATGAATGACAATGCAAACCACCATCACACCAAAGAAAAGTATGTGCGGTCAATTCAAGATGCCCTTTTCTACTAAATATGTTCTTGGATGAGGTTCATTTTCTGGTAGCTGTACAAGATGAAGCCTTCACTTTTTCCTCCAATATATGTGGTACCACTACTGCAACTCAGTCCACAGTAAAATGCTGCCAGAGTTGAATGCCAGAAAGCAGAAGCACTTTATGAATATTTCTTACCCCCCCCCCCCCTTTGCTCAAGAGTTATCATTCTATGACCACTGGTTATATGTGTACTGGGCTTTCTATATCCTTTTTATGAAATATTTTTCTACTTTTGCAAATTTTAGAAGTTGTTCTGCTTTTTCTCTTATCATGTGATTGAGTGTGAGTGGTGCAACTTTAGCTACATAAGCAGGAATATTCTTTGTGAAACCACTGGTGTAGGATGCTTCTCTCTTTTTACTATTTTTAAACATTTTCTTTCTTTCTGCTTCCACTCCTACACAGTAGGCTACTGAAGATTGGATAGATTGCAGTTTCCTCCGGATTGCATGTTCTCAATTCTAGACAGCCAGATTGTTCATTCTTGGTATATACCACAGAAGGCAGACATTGATCTAACTGAATTTCACAAAATAATGCAATATGTTTTTAGTACCCAGTTTGCTTAAGTATTTTCAGGGTGGCTTACAATGTGGTTCTATTTCCAAAACCACTGATTATATTTTGTACCACAGGTAGGTTAGTTTTAATTTTGTACGAAGTTTACAACAGTCCACCTCTATGTTTATCTCTAGAAATGTTCTCATAGTCTCCGAAAACTGAAACCAAATTGACAGTTTTGAAAACTATGAAGGTATGAGACTGGCACCAGGGATATCGATTCTAGTTCACTCTCAACCAATGGAAGCTCACTGGATTACTTTGGGTCAGTCAATCCCTCTCAACTCAACTATAAAGTTGTTGATGTGGGGGAAAAAGAAGAGGCTGAGCACCTGAACAAACGTCAAGGTACAAAGCTAGCCGCACCTCCTCCAAAAATAAATCTCTCTTGTTAAACTTTTCTTGTTTAAGAACAAAATAAATGGTTTTCAGATTCAGATTATGATTCATAATCTAGCTTTTGAAAAAATGTTGCAGTTCAATTTGACAAGTTTTAATGTCTTCAGTTGAATCCACCCAACATTGCAGTTGGTAAGTATAATTCAAGCAATTCCTCAAATTAGGTTACTTCTGATACAGTACATTGGCCCATTGCAAGGATGTAGCCCTTTGAAGCCTTTGATATAAGCATCTGTATATTACTATTTATTAAGGCATTTTAACTGTACCCTGATCATATGATTAGTATTGACTTTTTATACTATATTGTTCTATGCTGGACTTTGGAAATAATAAACTTTTAAGTTTCATGATTGTGGAATCCAACCCTCTTCATCAGATGACTGAAACTATTGAGTCACAAACTCTGACAAAGCAGATCTAAAGTTGATATGTAATACAGTCACAAAGATTTAGGTCTCAATCAATATGATAATTTTCTGATTGTATCAAACAACATTCTGCTTAAAATGCCTCAAGGTTCTTATGTTCAGATGGTTAATGTTAAAAAAGTAATAATACAGTAATATAGTAAAGAAATGATGAAGGACAAAAAGGGAGTCCAGGTAATATGCAGAACTGTGCTGAGAATAAAAAGCCTTAAATCTGAATAGGCAAATGTATAGACAGAGAGTGGGAGACATTCTTGTTTCTCCCATCTCCTCTCCAGTCACTTTCCCGGTATCCTAGTGACTCGTCGGACGCAGTCTGAATACAATCCCTCGCAAACCTTTCCCCACGCATCCTTCTCCTCCTGGAAGCCAGAAAGGCAAGTGGACGCACCACTCCTTCTACTTTCTGGGTAGCCCCCTCCTTCACTCACCCCCGTCGGGATGCAGGCACCGGAAGTGGGAACAGAAAGCGGTGGGCAGTAGGGAATCGCCAGGAAAGGGGGCGCGCGAAAAAGAATTTTCATGGAAAGCTTTGGCGCATGCGCAGTGGCCGCCGCCGCTGCTGTCTGTGATTTGCGCCGCGCCTCAGCTGAGGAGCGGGCGATGGGTGGGAGGGGGAGAGAGAGAGGGTGAACTTGAACCCCGCGGCCAGCCGGGGTTCGGCGAGCGCTGAGCGAGCGGCGGAGGACGCGGACCTAACTGCTTGCAGGCGTTGTGGACAAAAGACCGGACGCCTGGGTTTTTTTGGGGTGGGGGGCGGTGTTGGAAAGGAGGGACCAGAGGGGCGGGGCTGAGCGCGCACGCGCGCGCGCGCGAGGATGTGAAGATGGCGGAGCTGCAGATGCTGCTGGAGGAGGAGATCCCGGGAGGGCGCCGGGCCCTCTTCGACAGCTACACCAACCTCGAACGGGTGGCCGAATACTGCGAAACCAACTACATCCAGGTACGGTGCGGTCGCTGTCTTTCCTAATCGCCCCCCTCGCTGCAACAAAGAGAGAAGGGCTGAACGCTCGGAGTGCGCGCTCGTATGCATGCATAGATGCAAGCTTGCATGCATGCATGCCATACGGAATGTCGAACTCCCTCTCCTCCCCATCCCAGGCATGTCAACTGGCCTTTGGGGCCTAGGAGGAGCTTGGAATGGCATGAGAACGAGGGGGAAGTGGAGAAGAGGTGGGTGCTCGTTGAACGCCCACACAAAAAGCCGTTGGGTCTAAGATTTGAGAGGTGCCCCTAATCCAGAGATTTCCTTTCAGAAAGATGTGTCCTGTACACAGGCTAATAACGCCTGGAGCTCATAGCTATCTGGGATCGTTAGATATAAAATGTTTCCCATTCTGTAACTGGAAGAGTGTGCTATATTTCTGCTTGCTACACCTTGGAAATAAGGGCAAAAGGTGATTTTGGACTAATAGGTGAGGAAATTTTTCACAGGCGACAAGAATAAACCCCTAACTCCACGTGTAATGCTACTCCTTAAGAGATGCTACATGTACCTTTATTAAGGATTCCTTTTCTCTCCCTGAACGGTGTGCTCCATTTAATAACTACTGCCCTGTAATGTTAATGTTGTGTTCCTTACAATTAATAACATAATTCAAAGCTATGGTTATCAGACTGCCTGATTTGCTAAAATTGTGATTTGGCACCAGTTCTGAATGTGATGTCAAAATGCACTGAGCTTCAAGGCTCCTACTGAGACGTGGTAATGAGCTGAATATGTGGCTTGGCTATCTGATTACTGTTCTGATTTCTGCTGATTCTTCAAAGAAAAAAAACCCCTGATTTTCTCCTTCATAAACAAAGCTAGAGACTGACATGATGCTTCAATATTTAAATTGAAAACATAAGGAAATCTTTTTAACTTAGAACTTTATATGCATTTTAGTGTTGCTTTTAGTGAAATGGGCAGGTATATAAGATGGATGGATGGATGGATAGGTAGATAGATACATAGGTAGATAGATAGGTGATAGTCTAATTGCAACCTCTCTGTCTCATTTATAAACAGGGAGCGATGTTCTTAGTATCTATTACTCAGTGTACAGCCTTATTAATATAGCATATGGTAATATAATTTAGTAGCTTTCTGCTTGGTGATTAGAATTTTGTATTTCCAATATTTTTTCAGAGCAGTTAGTATGACCAGTTAAAACATCATTATTAAATTCTAAGATATAAAAACAAAGTCAGATTTTGTTGGGGTGATGTTGTAAATTAAGATTTAATTATGGCTTTCTGTTGACAAAGATGATGTGTCGAACAAATGAATGCAATGAATTTGCTTCATGGGCGAGTTATGAAATTGCAGTTCCTTTTTGATTATCAGATAGGTTTATTACTTATGAAATTGGTTTAGTTAGCTATCTAATCTTGAATGTGAAGTTTAAATTATCAAGCACTTAAACACATCTGGGTCTTAAGGAATAGGCAAAGAAAAGATGGGTAATTCTCTTATGTAATATTTTACTTTTCATCATATCAATTTTATAACATGTTTCTGATTTGAAGACTAAAATGTATGTGGCATTGATAAAAATTTTGAAGTTTTAGAACTTTTCTTTTTCTATGTACAGTGTAAATAAGTAAAATGTTTTTGGCAGCAAAACGTATTCATAAGTTTCTATTTTCCTGTATATGAATGTACATATTTGAAGATCAAAAGAAGAACCGATAGTTTTAAAAAGCACTAAGAAAATGTGCAGTGTGACTTGCTTGTTTTTCCTGAATTGGATATTGAATTCTATAATCAGAAAGCTTTTGTACTTACTGTAGTCTCTCATGAGGCATGTATGGCTTCTCCATGTTATTCTTTACATACAATGAGTTTATAGTCCAAGGCGAATGTAAGATTTTTCTTTGTGATACTGTAACATAAAATGAATAAAATGTTTTTTGCTATATTGCTTTAAATTGTTGCATGCATTGAGGTTGCAAAAATGGTACCATATTGTTTATTGGTTTTGATTTTAATGAATTCTGTTAGTTTCACCTGGGGATGATTGGATTTTTGAAAGATTTTGCTGAAATAATATATGCCAAGGGAATCTTTATCAGTATGTTATATTATAAATCTGAAGTATTCCAATGAAAAATGTAGAATTTAAGGGATAATGGTCAAGGAGGAACAGTTTGGGATAGCACTTTATATATTAGCCAGCTATAATGTTAAAATAAATCCTTCCAATTGTTTTTGGGCAAATATTTGTACAAGGGCTCAGTAGATTTCTTTAGATTATTTCTAAATTTCCTGCTGAAAAGCAAAAATGCAGTCTGTACCTTCGTAGTACATTTTCAATCTGTTTCAAGCAGCTTCTTCTTTTTATTCACTCTTCATTTATTTGGTGGAGATTTTGTAATTTTTTGTATACAGAGTTCATGCTGACTTTCTATGAAGTTTTTCTATTTTCAGTCTAGTTTCTTTCATTCACTTCCTTCTTTTTTCCATGATCATTCCCCCATGTTACACTCTTGACACTACAAAAAAAAGGAGGGTCTGTCCTGCATATGGAATTGCTCATTGCCTTGCATCCTTCATTAATTCTGTAGTGAGGAACAGACTTTTTAAAAGCACATATTATTAAACAAAATTATCATCTTTCCCATTCACTCTCAAATATGTTTTCATATGTTATGCCTAGAATAACATTTTTTCCCATGTTCGTTCAAAATATTCACAATTTTCCAAAAAATGAGCTTGTCACTGTATGTATTCATCAAAACATGCCATAAGATCAGGCCATGTTCACTTAGAAGTACTATAACTTTCCTGTATCTCTTTGCTTCATTTCCTTCCTTCCTTCATTCCCTCCCTCCTTCCTATGCTCTTTACCATTTCCATATGCCATTGTTGTCACCTGTTGGATACATAGATACTAACTGCTACCACTCATTGCTTTAATAGTATAGAGAGATTATAAATTGGGTTACCAGCCTTAATTATATCCCTGTCATGTGCAGCATTTCCAGCTGAGGACAGTGCTAGTCAGTTTTGCACATTTTGCTGTCTATGTCATTGGTGCAATCAGAGCTAGTTTTACCCAAGCATGCTGAATGTACAAGCTTGCATCTTTAACCTATAGATTTTCTTGTAATCCAATATACTCTTGTTTTCATCTCACAACTGAAGAAGTAAAGGCAGTTATTGATATATAGTCTGAGTGCAAAGAAAAACTTTAAAACATATTTTTATTTCTTTCAAAGCCTTTAAATTTCTATCTAAATTAAAAATTGAAAAATTCTGATATGCAATTGGCTCCTTATTAATTTGATGAATGACTTTTGAATTTTACTTGATTTGATTTTTTTAGGGTGGTGTTTTATTGTGAACAATCCAGAAAGCTTTGATAATTGGGCTGTTTATTTATTACAAACAAGTAAATAAAGTGCCATGTTGTCGAATGAGATTACAACATCATGGGTGAAAACATGGATAGTATTACTGGTATTATTTTACTCTTGCTTTATTAGGTGAATGAGGGATATATTACATATTAATCAAAATTATGCTGTAAATGGTTAATATAAGCAGACCCTGGGTTACAAATGAGATCTGTTCCCAAGTCTGTCTTTAAATCAAATTTGCAGATAAGTCAGAATACTTATTTAATATCATGATCCTACTTAAAATGACGGACGTAATTTGAGCCAACAAATTACGGAAGCAATACAATGTTTGCATGAGTGTCACAAAACAATGCATATTTATTATTCCATCCTTCCGAGGTTGGTAACACGAGGACCCAGATTGTTGGGGGCAATATGCTGACTCTTTAAACTGCTTAGAGAGAGCTGTAAAGCACTGTGCAGCGGTATATAAGTCTAAGTGCTATTGCTATTGCTATTCAAACCATTTGTATTTGTATTCAGTTTTTTTAATATAATAGGCCCGTGATGGCGAACCTATGGCACACGTGCCAAAGGTGGCACATGGAGCCATATCTGTGGGCATGCAAGCGTTGCCCTAGCTCAGCTCCAGTGTGCCAGCTGATTTTTGGGCCTTTTGGAAGTTGGGAAATGGGCTGTTTCCGGCCTCCAGAGGGCATCCGGGGGGGGAGGCCATTTTCCTCTCCCCAGGCTCCTAGAAAGCCTGGGGAGCCTGGGGAGGAAGAAAAACGGGACTACTGGGCTCACCATGCCATTGCGTGCCAAAAGCGTGGGGAATGTGGGGGCGGGTCATGTGCGCATGCACGGGGCGCATTGAATTATGGGTGTGGGCACATGTGCATGCGACCTCCCTACTTTTGGCATGCGACAGCAAAAAGGTTAGCCATCACTGTAATAGGCTTTAGGGCAATCTAAAAGTTGTCCGAAAGTTGGATGTTCTTAACCTGGGGAGGGGAACTGTCTGTTATTTATTTATTTATTTATTTATTTATTTATTTATTTATTTATCTGTCTGTCTGTCTGTCTGTCTGTCTGTCTGTCTGTCTGTCTGTCTGTCTATCTATCAATCAAATTTCTATACCGCCCTACTCCCGAAGGACTCAGGGCGGTGAACAGCCAAGATAAAATACAGATAATACAAATATTAAAAAATCCCTTAAAATTATTAAATATTTCGGCTGAAACACAGATTAAAACACCCAATTTATAAAATCACAAATTTAAAAATTTAAAAAATTTAAAAAATGGGAGTTAGGCCAGGCCAGCTTGCTGAAATAGAAAAGTTTTGAGAGCACGGCGAAACGTGTGCAGGTCCGGGATCTTCCGTATCTCTGGGGGGAGCTCGTTCCAGATGGTAGGCGCCCCCACAGAGAAGGCTCTCCCCCTGGGGGCTGCCAGTCGACACTGTTTGGCCGACGGCACCCTGAGGAGCCCCTCTCTATGGGAGCGTACTGGTCGGTGAGAGGCTATTGGTAGCAGAAGGCGGTCTCGTAGATACCCCGGTCCGATGCCATGGAGCGCTCTAAAGGTGGTAACCAAAACCTTGAAGCGCACCCG